CCCAGACGTGCGAGAGGGATGGTATCGCGGTTCTGGGGTGGTACTTGGCCGGGGTACCCAACAGCAAAATCTCGGTGCTGAAACTTGCTTGGTTGCCGAGTTGAAATACCGGACAGACGAACACACCACGACAGCGAACACACACACATACATACACACACACACACACACGCACAGACAGGGTCGTCCCAATATGCGTTTTTGCAATTTGCATATAGGCGAAAACGCATAACTAGTAAACTGTCCCAAATAAGTGTAGCTCTGTGTAAACGATGAGCTGATTTTCGAATCTTGTTTAAACTGGGAGCAACGTGTCTTATTCATCCTTTTATTTCTCCTTAGATCTGAATCTATACTTCTCCCGCGCTGTTTACAAGTTCGTTTCCGCTCCACTTAGGTTAGGAGTCTGCGCTTATTTCGTACTAACACTAAGTTTCTTTAACGAATTCCACAACAACTGAGGATTTTTTGAAGTGAGCATAGTATGTTCTGCAAAAATTAGCATTTCATAGTTGATACAAAATCAAAATCACTCAGTTGTTTCGGTATCCGAAAAACGTTTTCATGCAGTTTAGAGAATAAATGCCATTTGTTTTCCACTTTTACCAATTCCTATTTTTGCTGGTTCATCAAAAATGATGGTTTCATTAAGCATTTTCAAATTGCTAATAAAAATTACAAAAATTAAAGCAAGGATTGAACTGAAATCTCTTTTTTTTCTACGTTTTTCTTCCACTATAAGACTTATGCAGCCGAAAGAAGCGCGAGTATTGGCCTGATAACAATATCAACCACAGCTGCAAAGCTGTCAGTGGCTTGCTCTTCCTCGCATTGCTAAAAAGCAGGTCAATGCTGCTACTAAAAAGTCTGAAAATAAGTCCATGAAAGTTTAAAAAAGACTTTCATTGTGAAATTCCATAAAATTTGCAGTGCACAAAGTTTCTGATTAACGTTGTTTTGCTGGCAAAAGCGAACAGTCTTAGCGAATCGAACTCATTAACTTTTTTCAAGCTTCAAGGGAATATAATGAAGAACACAGACTGGAAACCGCACAGAAGTGCAAACAAATGGCTGCCGAATAAAAGTTTCTTTATTGAACCCCAACACCACATATCTGTTTTCTTCGGGCTATTCGACTGTAACCATTTGCGATGAATTTCTTTCACAGAACTTTCAGCACGGCCCTCAGAAGATAATCAGTCCAGTAGATTTATCTTGGAGGTGAAAAATCGTGTCTCAAAAACACTTTTGATGAGAAAACTGGGTGCAGATAAAGCATTTTCAAAGAAAAAAAGACATACAACTTGGCATTTTTCGATATTCATAGCAGAAGGTGTTTTAACTGAAGAAACGACCAAAGCTGTCACAGTTACAAAGTTTGGGGAACAAAACAGCAGCTCGACTTTGCGCAAATTAGGCCCAACCTTCCCTGTAAAGTTGAAGTGAAAGTCCTCACTGCGCATTACAATCGGCAGTAGCAAAGGACTGTTAAAAAGTTTCAAGACTACCGGGCAAATAGTGCGGGTATTCCATATCAGTAATTTTATTGATATGCTTCCACAAGCCGAATGCAACTACGAAAAGCCTTTCGATCCTGGGCTGGGCACCTCTTGTTACTACCATTTTTCAAAATCTGTACCAGTAGCAAAGTATTCCTGACAAATTCTGCAAGGATTTTCTGCTTGAACTCGTTGCACTTTTTTTTTTTAAATTGCATGTGATTCAATTCAGTTTCACTGTAATTCGACGATGTTATAGTTCTTCAGGATACATATTTTGATCAAAGATTTCTGCCGCATAAGTGGAGCCAAGAAG